GCTGGGAGAGAGGGGAAAGAGTCTGTCTGTGGGACAGAGGCAGCTGGTGTGTCTGGCCAGAGCCATCCTGACACAGGCCAAGGTAAGTTCACTGCCTTCATCGGAGCAAGGGGGAGAGGGACCTGCTGGTGGCTGTCTGGGGACAGCAGAGCAGAGCGCTGCAGAGCTGGAGGTGTCATGGGGACACGTACCCTGTGCTAACTTCTCAGGCTGTCTCTAGCCAGGGAGTGGGGTCTCTGCTGTGCTGCTTGGAAGCCCCCTTCCCTCTCTGTCCCTGGCAGGTGCTGTGCATCGATGAGGCCACAGCCAGTGTGGATCAGAAGACAGACCAGCTGCTGCAGCAGACCATCCGCCAGCGCTTCGCTGACAAAACTGTTTTGACAATTGCTCACAGGTATGGAAGAACCTCTGTGCCTAAAGTCATCCTGCCACTCACAGGGAGAGGTGGCTGCACATGCCATGCCTGGGCCCCAAGCTGAGCACGGAGGTCACTGTGATAAGGCTTTTCAAGTGCCAAGGCTGGACCTTGCCTTTTGCCTTTTCTGCTGGGTGCTGGGAACAACTGGATGTGAAAAGGGGAAAATGTTGTACCCAGAAGTTGGTGCCAGCAGAGGGCAAAATGCAGCATCCTGTCACAGATTTCTCTTCCTGGGCACTGCCTGCGGGCATCAGTAGGGCAGGCGAATTGTTCCTTGTTCTGCCACATTAGGGCGAGGCATAATGGAGAACTATCGTGTGGAAAGGGGCAATGTGGAGACAGTGGAGGAGCAGGTGTCCCTGGCTCGGTAGAGGGCAGTGCAGGACAGCCAGCAGCAAAGGGCTGCAGCCAGCTACTGGATGGTTGTGTCTTCCAAAATCCTGAGTTTCAGTTCCAGCCTGCACCTTATGCCAGTGAGATAGACACTGCCCAGGCAGGACAGGACAACAGTGATTGTCTCATATCTGAGAGATGGAGAGTAGAAGCAGTGGATGGTTGCAGCCAGAGAGAGGAGGGCAAAACATGAATACTGCAGAGAAGGGATGGATCAGCATTAGGTGGTGTTCTCTTCTCTTACTCTTGCCAAGTGGAGGAGCATTTGGAGGAGGGTTATGCAATTGTATGGAGGGTGTTTCCAAAGCACAGAGGTTACCACAAAAATAAAAATCAAATGAGCAGGTGGCAGGGGCTGATGTCCTGCTGCACAGGAGTGGGAGTGATGGATGACAGGCTGGGTGGGCTGGGCTTGGCAAGTGAATCAAGTGGGTCTTGTTAAATACATTATGTAGGAGGGAGGCAGGAGGAGTGTGAAGGGAATGTGGTTCCTACACTAGGGATGTTAAGCATAAATAGAGTAGAAGTGCAAGGGCATTGTGGGCTGAGGTGTGTGTTTGGGTTGGGTGTGGGGAGGCCACCTTTGATGGGGGAGTAATTAAAAAAGAGAAACAGCAGAGGAAGGAGTGGCAGAAGGCAAAGCAACAAGACTGAGTTGAAGATGGTCCCAGCCCCTTTTCCATGGGATGAAAAGCAATGGGGGAGAACAGTAAGGAGAGAAAGGTGATGATGGGGTTGATTTATATCCATGGTTTTTCCATGCCATTCAGCTTTGGGTAAAATCCAGGATGAGAGGTGACTCTGTGCTTGTCCCTCCAAGTAATTTCCAGTGCTGTAGCCTGCACTCTCTTGGAGGTGAACATGTAACCAGAGTCTTGAACTCCGTAATGCCTTTTACCTGCTCAAATCCTGTGTGGTGTCTTCCTTGTGATCTGTGGCTTCATAGGGCTGTAGTTTCACACTGAATGGTGCATGACTGTGCAAAAACATTCCTGCTGTCCTGTCTTCCCTATCCAGAGCCAGAGGCTGCTGTTCTGCTGGCAGTCCGGGCAGACCTGGGCACATATGTGTGCAGTGGGTCCTGTGGTTGGCTGACTGGCAAGTACAAATCCAGTGGTGGTGGTAGCATAAGCAAAGATGCTAGACTGCAGGGGAATAGCAGCTGATGCACAATTTCTGCTGCCCTTGGGAGGTGGCAGGTGAGGAAATGTTGGGGCAAATAAAGCAACTCACTAACCCCTGTGGGGATGGAGACATTTTGTGCAACCCCAGAATCAGGTATGCCCTGAGCTTCCCCCCACAGAACTTCCCTCTGCGCTCCTGGTGCCCTGCCATGCCCAGCAACTGGAAAGCATCACTGTGCTCTCCTAAGAGGTGCTGCATTTCAGCAGCGAGCAGAGGCTCTCTGGGGAGCTGCACTGTCACCTTGAGTGCAGAGCGAGATCCTCCACAGCTCCTAATGCTGGGCATGTCTTGGGCTGCCCTTAACAGCAGGGGAAGCAGTATCCAGAGCTTCTCCTCAGATCCAACAACGTGTGTCCTGGCATTTGTTGTCACAGGCTGAACACCATCCTGGACTCAGACCGTGTGCTGGTGATGCAAGCTGGGAGAGTGGCAGAGCTGGATTCACCCGCCCGCCTAAGCCAGAAAGATGGCTCCTTGTTCCAGCACCTCCTGCACAGCAGGCAGCAATGATCTCCCTCCTGGGCTCAGCCCAGGCAGCTCTTCTAGCTGGATGCCTAGCTTTCCTGGCACCTCAGACACCAGCGCTGTCCCTGCAGGGCCAGGAGCTGCTGAGGTGAGGGAGGAGCTTGTTCCTGCCTGCAGGCAGCAGCTGTGTGTCCTCAGGGACAGGAGTATGGCACTGTGGCCTTTCCTTTAGTAGGGAAGATGTGACCTGCTGTTCAGAGTTATGCAAGCCTGGTTGGTGGGATCCTGCTCCTCTCCAAGGCTTCTTCCCTTTTTGATTACAGAGGGATTTTCTACTCACTCACTCAAGAATCAGTAACTCCTAGTTTGAGACTTAGTCTGACATATGCAATGTAAAATAAAGTGGAAATATCCTTGTGAAGCTGTTGATTCAGGTCCTTGGCCCTTTTCCTCACCAGACACTTTTTTCCTTATGAGATACAAGAGTGGGCCCTCTCTACACGAAGACAACCCTACCTAATCTCTACTATTCCCAGAAGGCTTTTCCATGCCCAGAAAGTTGCATCCAAGGACCTTGCTACTTTTACTCTGGTTTTCAGTGGAGAAGGCCTTTCCCTGAATGGAGTAGAATGCAATTGCATTAAAGGCCTCTAAGGCTGGTTTATTGAAGACCACACTCTTGGGAAATTCTCTATCCCTCCTGCCCTGCTCCCAGCTGCACAAAACCCACAGCTGCTTTCAGTTTTAGGATCTTCCTTTTGCCATAGGCACCTGGGACCCCTTCTTCCCAACACTCTTAAGGCAATGCCTAGCCCACACCTTTGCTATGCTGTCCAGGGACAGGTGTAATTGCTTTCCCTGAAACTGTAGGAGCCATCTCCATCCCTGCAGATGGAGAATAAGGCAGGACAACTCCTGTGCCATGGTCTGGCTTTGCATTCTTCAGCGAAGTGATGGAGATACTCAGCAAGTTGCTGAGCAACCTGATCTACTTGGATCTGCTGAGAGCAAGAGATTGGTATTCAGAGGTCCCTTGCAACCTAAATTGTTTTATGATTCTCTGATACACTGTTTCTGAGCTTGTACTTGTTTTATTTGATAAAGGTACATAATCCATCCATGTATTAAAAAAATAATCTTTCTGATGAAGCCTCAGTCCCCTCTCCCAGGTCTCACTCCTGCCTGAGCATTCACTTCTTGGCTCACTTCACACCACCTTGAACCCAGCTCTGCAGCCCTACAAGCCAGTAGTAGGGTTTGGGTTGTGGAGAGTTTTGCCCCTCTGCTTAACCACCTATGCCCATGAGGAGGCAGAGAAATCCCTGGTCCTGGGAGAGAGGCACTCATTGCTGCACACTAGACCAGCACAGGCAGGAATAGATCTTTTACAAAGGCTAAGTGACCTGACCATCTGCTGCCTCTTAGCCATGTTTTAGCAATGGTGGAGAAGGCAGTTTTGTGTCTGCTTCCTGTGTTCATCCCAGGCTCACATCCACTGTGGGGAGTTTAGCCTTTGTTGTATTGAGAAATGCTGCAGTGATTTGAGGTTAGAGCCAGCTGCCTGCCTCAGAGTCAATGGGACAGCAAAGGAGGACCTGGATCCTCTATTGCTCCTGAACCAGCCACAGTACAGCCTTGTCGAGCTCCAGCTTCACCTATGAGGACATATGAGAAGGACCAGCTCAGGCCCAGAGGAGAGCAAATAGTGAGGCAGAATTGCACACTGCAGAGGCAAAGGATCTTGGTCATTTGTGGCCAGACCAGAAAGGACGGCTTAGTAAGTGAGTCAAAGAGACCCCTGGATTATCAGGAGGAAAGTACGGAATATGTTTGTGACCCCCAAGTCTGACAGCAAGAGGAGGGTGCATCAGCCAGGGCAGAAGAAGGGCATGAGACCTGCAATGATTTTTGAAGTCTCTTCAAAAGGCTCACAGAACCACAAGGCCAGGGAGCAAGGGTGTTTGCTCGTTCCCTAGGGACATGGCATCTGAAATGACAGCCTCCAGAAACAGCCAGGAACTACCCCATACAGTACTGCGGCAGGGAGACCCATGCAGCCACAACTGTATCAAAGGCCCCAGGAGAAGCATCCCAACACCAGCAGAAATGAGGATAAAGCCCCTTCCCGTAGTCACAGAGAGGAGTTACAAAGGGTCTGGCAGTATTTGGGCTTGCAAGAGGGCTGTGCCCTCCTCAGCACTGCCTGTCCTGTTTCTGAGTGCTGGAGCAGATGGTAGCGGTGCTCGTGTGGCACGGGTGGCTGCGGGCAGCACACCATTGCTCCCCTGCAGGGCTGGCCCAGCACAGCCCTGCCTTCAAATGCCCCTGCGTGCCAGCTGAGCCAGCCAGACAGGAGACAGCTCAGACCCAGGCAGGGCCATCACACCAATGCTCAACGCCCGAGGTTTTGTTGACATGTTTGCTGCCCTGGGAGCCCTTCCCCGCTGCCCAGTCGGTGCCGGCATGGCTCCGCAGGGTGCAGTTCAAGGGGTTTGCCAGCATGATGACCTGCCAGGGTCTGCTTCGGAGTCCTCGCAGCTCACAGCTCTGTGGTCTTCCTTGGCTCAATCAAGACGGTGTTGAGCATTCCCACCTGACACTCCTGGTCTTGGAGCTTTCTTGCAGCCTGAGAAGGGCTTTGGCACCAGTTTGACCTTTGACGGCCTCTCTGCCAGTTCCTCAGCATTAGCAGGACAGTGATGAGGACCAGCACTGCTGTCAGCACCCCGAACACCAGCACTGTCACTAGCTGGGCTTCACTCAGCCCTGAGTCCCTTTGGGTCACCACCTCCTTCACAGAGATTTTCAACAACCCTCCCCCCGGCTCTTTCTCGCTGTGGTTGGCCACACGCCGCCCTGTGACCACAGTCCTGATGGGCTCTGGCTGCGTCACCCCCGGCGTCTCACTAGTGGTGCTTTTCACACCTCCAGCATTCTCAGGGTTTGCAGGGTGGTAGGCAGGAGACCAGGTGGGCTCAGGGACAGAGATCTCACAGGTTTTGCCAGTGAAACGGTCAGGACACAAGCAGTCATAGTCATTGATGCGGTCATAGCACTTTGCCCCATTTTTGCACGGCTGGCTGGCGCAGTCGTTGATGTTGATGGTGCAGAAACGCCCTTCAAAGCCCACCTGGCACTGGCAGGAGAAGCGGTTGACGCCGTCGTGGCAGGTGGCCCCGTTGGCACAGGGGCGCATCAGGCAGTCATCCACATCGTGCTCACAGAGAGCCCCCACAAAGCCAGCGAGACACCGGCAGGTGAAGTTACTGGCAAAGCCATTTTCGTCTTGACATTGCCCACCATTCTTGCATGGAGACCTGTGTGCAGAGAGCAAGGACAGGATAGGTCATGGCCCTGGAAACAAGCAGCTTCCCCTACCCTAGGGGTGTACCTGAGGTAAACACACAGAGCTGCTTGCACGGTCAGTGTGTCCAGCTCTCTCTCTGTGGGGGCAGCTATCTCTAGGAGAAGACTGGGTGGGAGTTTCTGTCTCCTTGAGTGAGAGGCTGTGGGACCTTCTCAAAGGCTGTGGCTGTGCACAGGCCCACCACCCACCAGGGAGGGTCTTCAGCACTATGATCTGAAGAGGAAACATGCCCTCCTGATGCTCCCCAAGGGCATCATGGATGTCAGCTCATCATGCCTACAGCAGTTTGGCTACCTGGGAGATAGGATGTCCCAGGCATCATGAACAAATTCCTGTCCTCCTACAGCAAGGACATCTGTTCAGATTGCAACAAAGCCCTTATCCTGGTGGGACTGTGCACTGCACTCTGCTAAACCAAAGCCAAAGGTGATTTTGGCTTATCTCCATTACTGTATGGAAATTCACAGGTAAAGAGCCAAGCTGGGCCTCCACTTGGCAGTGTGTGACCCGAAGTAAATGCTGTCTGTAATCTCACTGCAGTGTCTCACCCTGCCTTCTCACATGGCCCTGTCTTCATCTCACAGTCCTTCCCGTGGAAGCCTTCTGGACACAAGCAGGAATACTCCCCATCCCGATCGTAGATGCACTGTGCCCCATTCTGGCAGGGGGACTGGTGTTCACAGATGTGTATGTCTGAGGGGAAAAAAAATGGTGTGAATGAGGGAGAAAAGAGGGTTGATGTGGCCAACTCAGTGCAAACACAACCCACCAAACCCCCTGGGGATGGGGAAATGGCAGGAGCTTCTCTCTTCTCCCCTCCAACAGGCACCTGCAGCAACAGAAGTGCAGTGCCTGTGTGGTTGTGAAGATGCAGTGCATGCCAACTGTCTGACCAGTGGAGACCCCCAGGTACAGACAAGTCCCTGGGGCTGGAGAAGGGGAGTCCCCAGCTACCTGCTGAAGGCAGGAAGCCTTGTGGGGGAAAGCAGGGAATGCTGCTCAGAGTCCTGATGCAGCACGGGAAATGCAATGAGTTGATCTGCCCCATTTCCTGAGGCTGGCCAGTGTCATGCCAGCTCTTGCCATACCACCAGGGAACAAATGACAGCAGTCTGACCTCTCTTGCAGGAAGGGAATGGTCCCAGCTGTGGCTGCCAGGCAACATCCCATCTCCCAGGCAGCCAAAACAGCATCACCCAGGTGGCTTCTGGCTACGCTGGCTGACAATATCCATGAGGATGTGCCGGGCTTCTGCCCTCAGCACCAGAGGCAGGGATTCAAGCCCACGACTCACCTTTGTCACAGAACTTGCCAGCCCAGCCGGAGTGACAGATGCACTGCCAAGGCTGGTGGCACGTGCCGTGAAGGCAGCCCGGCATTCGCACGCACTCCTCGCAGTACTCCCCCTCCCAGCCTGGGTCACACCTGCAGGAGCACAGGGCATAGCAGCATAATCAAATCAAATCAAATCAAATCAAATCCAAGCAGGGGCTTGCAGAAAAGCTGTCTGTGTGCTGTGCAGGGCTCCTACAGATACAGCTGTGCTCAGAAACCCTCCCAAAGGCCCCATGGACCTCCAGCTCCCTCCTGCAGAGCTAAGTACTGGCATCTCATCTGTCCAAGGAAGCAAGCAAGACAGAGCAGGAGCAGACACCCCCTGCAGCCGGGGAGGGTGAGTGGCCAGCAGCAGAGCTCAGCAGCTTCACTTTCACTGCCCACATCCCTCTGCTCTCCTCCAACCAGCCACTCCATACACACTGCTGCATTAGCTCAGTAATTCCCATACCTCCCACAGCAGGCAGCCACTCTGACAGGCAGAGAAAAGCCCATCCCTAACCCTGAGCTTCCTGAGAGAAAGGGCCAAGAGGCTGCTGAGGTCCGTGTGTTCCACTGCTCCTCTCTGCATAATAATGTGTGTTATTTTTTGTCTGGAGTGCACTGTAAGCCAGCTGTGAAACCTTGCTGGCTTTGGCTAGTGCACAGAATAGACTTCTCAGCCAGCCCACAAGGGCAGCACAATGGGAGAGCCTGCAGCACACAGCGAGCCTTCTGGCCCCAGAAGAGCAGGGCAGTGGCAATGCCTAAGTAAAGCTAAGCTGCACTGCTCCAGCGGCAGGCATCCCTCAGACCTGCCAGCTCCAAGGCAGAAAGCAAGTGATAACAAGATGAGAGCTGAGAGGAGGTGGCACCAAGCCACAACACAAGATATACTCAAACCAGCACAAAATGAAACCCAACAAGAACAACACAGTTCCTAGAGTAAGGAAGGGGGTTCATTTTCATGGCTGGGGCTCCTTTCAGCACAATGTGTGGTGACTGCAGTTTTTTTGGGCTATCCCACAGCTGCACTTTCAAACCTGGGATGCCTGTTGTCATCTGGATGTTGTTCCAAAGAGATGAGGAGTGAGGAAAATGGTAAAAATAATACATATATATACACACATTAGAGGCTTTTCAATGGGACTGGAGGTGATACCACGTGCCTGGTATATTCTGGGGAAATACATTCATACCTGGACAGCCCTGAGCAGAGGGATGTGGACACCCCTACCCCCCAGTACCTGCAAGGAGCAGGTGCTATCAACTCTTCCACTACTCTGAAAGGGAGCTGGCCAACCTAAAAATTGCCAGGAAGGGGGCCAGGTAAGCAGCCAAGTCTCCCTGAGTTTGAGGTGATTTTGAGGTACTGCCAAAACACAAGGTTCAGCAAATGCTCTGGAGGCCTGAAATCAGCAGCAGCAACTCACGTGCAGAAAGATCTGCAGCTGGGACACCCTGCCACATGGTGACATGTGGCCTTTCTCACGGGGGCTTTGCAGCACCCTGCTCTCCCAACCAGCCACAGCTGCTGAAAGGGCTCAGGGAGGAGCTCTGTGCAGCTGCAAATGTGGGCCCAGCCAAACCAGAGCTGGACACAGCCTGATGCAGCAGTCAGCAAGAACAAGAGGTGGCCCAGGTGTGGTGTGACACCAGGGGCAGTTCTGTGAAAGGGGACTGACCATGCCCTGGTGAGGAGAACAGGGTGGCTTTGGGCAGTCTGTCCCCTTGCAGCCACAGGTGTCCCAGCCAGCCCAAAGCCTCCTGGTGCTGCCTTATAGAGTGGGGACTCCAGATGGCCCTACAGGGGACAACAGGCAGTGGGGCTGTGGCAGCCCACAGCAGTCATGTGGTGCTTCCCAGGCTGAAGTGCAGGGTCAGGCTCTGAGCTTGAACCCTGTGGGATCTGGGCACCAGCTAGAGCTGGGATGCCAAGTACCACATATGCACTTCTGCTGCTGTAGTTCACAGCTTGCTGGTAAACCCTTTATGAAAAACATCCAGAGATCCCCACCACAGCTCAGGCTTCTGAGAGGGGACCCCTGAAGCCCTCAGTTATATGCATGGCTGGAAGCCCTTCTCTTCCATGGCCCAGGGAGAGCACCTCCACCTCAACCAGCGAGGAGGCCCAGCAAGCTGGCCAACCCTTATGCCTGCCCTGCTGCCTGATGACTTTCCTCCATCACATCTGAGCCTAAAGACTGCTTCCCATCACCCAGGCACGGCCAGGCTTCCCTCTAGACAAAAAGGGCTCAGCAGAATAACAGTGGTCAGTGTGTGAAGGTGGGCACCCTGGAAGCACTGGAGCAAAGGCAAGAGGGGACCAGCAAGAGGCTGAGGCATCAAAATCTCTCACTCCAGAGGGTGTCAGGTAAGAAGAGAGCAGAGTCATCGGTTCCAGGTGTGGGTGAGTGGAGGAGGAGGTGCTTCAGCTCGGGGCAGGGATGTAGGCACCAGGGACACGGTGTCAAGGGAGGGAGAGCAGTTAGTCAGGAGCAGCAGAGCCCAAGACAAGGCATACCTGCACTTCCCATCCTGGTCACAGCAGCCGTGGGCGAGATTGCAGCGCTCACTGCAGTCATCCCCTACAAGAAAAAAGACATGGGGACTTGGATTAAGCAGAGACTATAGATGATTCCAGATCTGCCCATGGCTCTGGGTGTTTCCTTAAGTGCTCAGCCTACCTCTCCCCAGAGAGGTCATCTCTCTCACCTTTTCTCTGCTGCCTCCCTTAGATTTTGGGCCCTTCTGGGCAAGAGCTGGCGTTGCCCGTGCATTAAGACAACCTGTGTAACAGGGACTGACCCACCTGGGACCTCAGTCCCACAGTCTTGCAGCAAGTATGGTGGGAAAGCTCCGGGCCAAGTACTGCAAGGGGCACAAGAATGGAAATGGAAAGAATGGTTCTTCTTTACCTCCCAGGATGTCACCATCTCCAGGGACAGCTGTTAGCATAGAGTGGTCTGACAGGAGCTCCTGCCCTCTTCTGGGACCTGGTTGCCAGCACTCCCCTCCCAGTACAGGGAAGAAGGACTTGGCATCACATGGGGCCAGGTATCCAGTTCTGTTTATTTATTTAAAAGCCACAGAAGCTGTAACTGAGCCATGGCCTCACTGTGCCACTTCTCATCCTCTCCTTTGTGCCAGGTGTTCCCTTTCATCTCCACCTTCCCCTCTTCCCCATCACTTGCTTGCATCTTAGCTCCACAGGGGAGCTGGTTCACTCTGACTCCATGAGCAGCAGAACTAGAGCAGATGTCAAGAAGCAGGGGGGTTTCTCCAGAAGTCTTGTGCAAGTCTTGTGCAGGCCAGGCCCAGGAGGTGCATATCCTTACCTGAGCCCCTCCATCCTGGACTGAAACAGAGTAAAGCCCCCATGCCTAGAGATGCACTGAGGATTTCCCAAGCAACATTTTGTGCTGCCTGGGAGAATGAGCAGGGGAAGAAATCCCCTGTGCATGCAGTTTTGCTGCAGTGAGGCAGCAGGTCCCACTGCACAGGGTCAGAGCCGTCTAAAACAAGTCACTATGGAGCTGGAGCAGCATCCTGGGACTGCTCAGCCCCAAGCCTGGGTAGTGCCACCTTTCCTATTTGTAACCATTTCTCCTGGCACATGGCTTTGGGAATTCATTGCTTATCCAGAGCAGGGATAGAGCAAACTAATCTTTGGGAAAGGAGTTTGTCTCAGTGGATCCAGGGTTAGCTGTTCACTTTTGGGACCTCCTTCCCCCTAGCAAGCTCATTGGTTTGGGAACCCATTCACCCTAACTGAGAGAGAGCAGCAGGGATGTCTCTGCCAGTCTGCTCAGGCACTGCCATCCCTGTGGGCAGAGTTTCTAAGGTGCCTCCAGTGTCACACTCAGGTGATTTAACAAGTGGGCAGCATTTTCTGCTTTTCCAAGTCAGACCTTCTCAATTTTGCATGGAAAACTGAGGAGACTTCAGCAATGCCAAGGACAGGTTTGGAAAAATGGATATGAAAGAGATGGACCCATGTCTACACAGACTCACCTTGCACAAGCTGGTGATGGGCCAAGAGGATCCAAATCAAGGACATGAGCTGGAGACAGAAGCTCCTGAGCATGGTCAGTGTGGCCCCACCGAGATGAACACCTACAAAGAGAAAAAGAGCAAGCTCAGCAAAATCCCTTGGCTGACACACCAACACCTCCTCTCTGCTGCCTGGGAGTTTGAGTTGAACCATCCAGTTTTATACAGCCTTGTCACCACACTCCCCTCTGTTCCATCCAGACTCCTTCCTCTAAGTCAGCGTTGGGGCACTAAGAATTAAAAAGCTTTTGAAAATGTGTGTACAGGAGAACCTAGTGTGCAGACTCAGTCCTGAGTGTGTTATAGCTCAGGCTGTCGCAGCACATCTTGGAGCACCTACCCCTGGTAGCTGCTGTCCAGAGATCAGGAAGCCAGAAATACCCACCCAGCTGTGGGACCTTCATCTTCCCTCCCTAGATCTGGGACGCTTCAGCTTCATGTTAAATAAGGTCCTGCTGTGCACATTTGCACAAATAGATGGGCTGAGTGTTCTTCACAGTGCCCAGGCTGCTTTTCAAACCCTGCAGGAGAGCAGGGAGTCCAGTAGATCTAGCAGAGGAGCAGGCAGAAAACAGCAGCCCTCTTTCACTGTCCAAGCAAGAGAGTGCAGCAACAGGCACTAGAGCTGGGCTGCAGCTCCAGGCAGGAAATGTGAACGCACACCTCTCACTAGGTGCAGTCCTTTTCCTCAGCTGTCCTGCAGAGAGCCCTGTCAGCCCGAGGTTCCTGCATCCACTATTTTCCGACCGCCTCCTGCCCTCTTGAAGTAGCATTAAATACTTTCCAAAAATGCCTGATTCCCTCCCAGCCTTCTGGGGTTGTTAAGGGCAGGAAATTCAAGGGTGATATCATAAATATATTACTGTAATGAGATGGGAGGGGTTAAACAGTTCTGTTAAGAGAACGGTGAAGGTATGGAGCAGACTCTATCCAGATGCGTGGGTGTGATGAACAGGGGCCATTCCACTTTCAGCTTGACTCTTCAGTTCTGGAAGGTTATGTTTGGTCCATAGTTGTGTGAGAGACCTCTAAGGTGGGGACACAAGTCATCCCACTCACACGTACACATGCATTGCAGGAAAGGGTTTTGGGGTCCCTGCTAAGAGCTTCACCTGCCTGAACCGGACAAAATAGCCCATAAAAGCAATGCTGTTGCTTGAAGCATCTCTCCAGCAAACAAACCACCACCAACGAAGGATGCAGCATTTTCAGAGGGGCTACAGAATGTTACTGCCACTGACCCAGCCAAATCCCACTATGGATTACTCCATCCTCCCTCCCCACAGTCCCTTTGACAACATGCTTGCAGGATCCTCCTTCACCTCCTGCCCCTAAACATTGGGCAGTGGCAAACAGCTGCTGCATTTCAGGAGAGGGTGAAGCAATTGCTATGAAACTTATAAAATAATTTAGGGCTGAAGAGTGAGTATCATGTTCCTTCAGGGCTGTGAGAAGCATAAGCTCCGATCATGTGCCATTGCAAAGGCTGTGTTTTCCCAATTGCAAAGGCTGATTTTCCCCCACAGCTCCCCACTCGAGGAGTGGGGCCCCCTGACCTAGTCACCCCGTGGGTGCTGCTCCCAACAGAACGCCCGGGACAGACCCGGACCCCGGCATCCTGGGTGGCAGCTGGTGCCCGGGAGAGGTGTGAGCAGCTCCCACCTGGGCAGGCCTGGCTTTGGGTCACAAGGACACGGGCGAGGGAGCTCCCTCCGTCCCACTCGTCCACCTCTGCCTGGCCGGGTTGGGGGCTACCAGACCTCCGGGCGCCGCGAGGACGACCCCCGAGTCTATTAACCACCCTTGCGAGGTTATCAGGGACCTCTGCGCGCTCGGGGACTACCAGGGACATCCCCAGGAGGTGGGCTATCAGGCACTGCCCCCAGCCTGGAGGCCATCGGGACCCCTCCGGACTGGCGTCCGGGGGCAGGGCTGGGATCCCGGGGGATGCCGCGCCGCTGTGCTCGCCGCGCCTGTCCCCCCGCCCCCCTCCCCCCGGGGCTTTGGGATCACCCCAAGCCTCAGTGCCCCCCGGAGGGGCACGGCCACGGGGGGCTCGCCTTTCTCCCAGCCCCACCCCACCCCAGGGCTGCCCCGGAGGGGACCCTCCGCGGAGCCCCGCCGGAGCCCGTGCGGCCGGGGCGGCGGCGGGGAAAGGGGGGCCGGCGGGGCTGGGGCGCTGCGGGTTCCCGGCCCCTGCTCACCTCGGCGACGCGGCGGCTCGTGGGGCTATCGCGGGGCGCGGCGGCGGGGGGCGGCCATGCCCGGTGCGGCGGCGGCGGCGCTGGGAGGCGCGGGGCTGCGGAGGGAGCTGCCGCCGCGTGTGCCGCGCCGCTCCGCCCGCCGCCGCCGCCGCCGCCGTGCAGCCCCGGCCGCCTGCCAGCGGCTGCGTGTGCCTGCACATCCCCGCTCCCTCCCCGGGACATCCCGCCTCCCGCCGCCCCAAACCGCAGGCAGCCCCCGACCCGGCCCGCCCTGCCCGCTCACCCCTGCCCGCTCACCCCTGCCCTGCTCCCGCCGCCGGGGGCGGGGGGGACCCCGGCACGGCCCGCCCGCCCCCGGGGAGCTGCGGCTGCGAGGGCTCACCGGCCCCAGCAGCGATCGCAGAGCACGCAGAGGTGCCCCGGGCTGGGGTACCCCCGCCCGGGGCTCGGGGCTGCAGCGCTCGCCGCCCTCGCCTGGGCAGGGGCGCGGTCCCGCGGGGCACTGAGCCTCTCCGCCTGGCGCTCCTCTCGGAAATAGGTGAGCGATGATCCGAGCCTTCGTTTTGCTCAGATTATCTGAAATAATACGAATAAGGAAAAACACCTCCTGCAGCCCCTCCCTGATGTCCCCGGGGTCCACTAAAACACCTCCACTGGCAAACAGTAGGATTAAGAAGGCCCATCCTCAAAATAAAGGTTCAACTTGTAGTAGCCACCTCACAAAAAAGAAGTCATCCAGAGAAGCTGTGGTCCCCAGCATTTTTCTCGCTGCCACTTATGAGATGTGGACCTCAGCACTTCAGTGGACAATAAGAAACAATAAGGCAACTGTGGAGAGGGTCTGGGCTGTCACATCTTCAGATGAAACAGCTGCCCGCTCTCCTCCTCACCTTGCATGGCCTTTCTGCTGCTTGACAAGATCACAGCCATCACCTTCAAAGGTACTAGCAATCCTTAATTAGATTACAAGCTCACATCAGTCAGCTCTTTTCTACCCCTGTATCCCACAAAGTTTGCTGTTTTTCCCCAGGAAGGAAGAAGAACCATGTCCTACAGGCACTTAATGGATGCTTTCACACTCCATCTCATCTCATCAGACAAAGTTCAACCCATCCCTGCTCTCACCTTCTCCAGTCCCCCCAGCCCTCTGCTGCCCTGTCAGCACCCCGTGGCAGCCATGGGCAGCTCTGCAGGTCCCAGGACCCAGTAAGAGCCCAGGTATCAAAGCCAAGGTCTCTGCCAGCTCTGAGCAGGGACCCCTACTTGTTCATCCTTGGTATGCCTGGACAACACAACATGATGGAGTGATAAAATGGGGGCCTACCACCCTGCCTACCTCTGCAGGACCTGCCTCATTCCTGCCTCCTTCCTGCTGTCCTGTCAGCCAGGAGCCCTGTTCCTTTCTTGGCCCTCTTCCTCCTCCTATCACCCCAAAGACAGAGGAACGGAGAAGTACAAACCTCCTACTTAGGTTGCTCCATCAGCTCTTCAGATATTTATGAGAGAGGTGTGCACCAGCTCTGTCCTGTGATTCTACATCCATTCTCATCCTGCCATCCCTCACAGCCAGCTCAGCCTGCTTTTGAGCCCTGATTCCTACCACTTCTGGAGCTTACAGCAAAAAGGAGAGGGGAAGGCTGAGGGCGAATCACACCTTCTGGTACTTGGTTTAAAACCAGACAGCCTTTCCTTCCATCACTACAGCTCTAGGACCTGGAACCATCCACATTTCTGCTCTGACACCCACAAACACCCTGCCTAGCACTCTTTGCCAGTCATGGTTGGAGGCCAAGAGTTTACTAGCGATACCTCCAACACTGAGTGTAGGCTGCTCAGCCTCAGCCTCACCTCTTCCTTGAAATCCTACCACCTTCACTAACTGTGTCAGATAGAACACCACCTCCTGCAACATCCTCATCTGCTCCCGCATTCTTCTGCTGGGATCTGCCCTGGTCCTGACCGCACTGCACTGCAACATCATTGCACAACCATGCCCCAGTGCTTTTAAACCTCTCTTGCTTAAATGTGCCTAAGAAAACCCTCTGGATGTCATGTGTGCATTTGTATGGGCTGATAGGAGGGGTCTGCAGAGGGACCCTGACATACGCTGATATCCGTAAGTATCTGCACCCACAGCACGAGTGCTGTGAGAGAGGGAGATGGGGCCAGCTTGCAGCCAACAGAATGGGACACGGGGCTCTCCCTGTGCTGCCTCTCTTGGAGGCAAGAGCTGTACAAGTCCAGGCTGAGGAGATAAACTTGGTTGCTGAAGACCTGAACTCTGAGGAAGGGGAATGAAGAACAAAATCCGGGGTGGGATTTCAGAAGGTGGGATATTTAAGGAAATGTGTTTTGTGGCTTGAGGTTTGGCTTTGCATGTGAGTATCACAGAGAGAAGCAGGGAGGGATGGATGGGAGTAGAAGGGGAATACAGAGGAGGGAGAAGAGATTCATGCAATATGGACCTTGGGTGCACTCCTTCCTCCACACTGAAGGGCTCCAGTCCCATCCCCAGGCACAATCCTGTGTCTCAGGTTCGCTGGGTAAGTCTGTGGACTGCCCAGTACTATTTAATCAGAGCAGCTCTATTTGCAGACCCAAGAAATGGGCATTGAGGAGATTCCTGTGCTTGGCTTAGACACTGCTCTACTAGGCTGTGATGCCTGCCATGCCATCCCTAGAGGCGTCTCAGATGGAACAGCTGCTGGATCAGAATTAGGAAGGATTTTTTCCTAGCCATAAGAGTTCCTCCATGGCTCTTCCCTCCAGTGAAGGAAATCCCCCAAAGCAGGGACCTGGGGTGGGAACTGGAGCAACCTCTTGTCATGGT